ACCACCTAAGCACGTAAACAAGCAGCTGCATGGGCAACGTATATCTAAATAGTTAATGGAAGGAAGGCTCCCCTCTCACAAAGTGAACAGTATTCTTTCCCCCTCTCATAACGTAAAATTTTTTTTTTTTTCCTTCACTGTTTCTTTCTCCCCTTCTCCATTATACTCTGGCCTTTTGGTTTTTTTACAAAAATATTTATGTAGTTTACTTTTTAATCTTTGAACCTTGTATACACAATTTATACATGTTCTAGAAGGTTGCGGCCTCTCGTCATGTAAGACTGTAAGTGGCAACCCACCCACTCGGCTCGGGTCTGTTAAGGATCATTTTTTATGTTGGTGTCTCGACAAGGAACTTTTTTGGTGTTCGTGTAACCTATACTTGCTTCTTTTTTTTCTTGTGATCTAGACATACTTCCTTTCGTTCTTTTTTACTTTTGACGTTTCAATCCCAAGACAGTACCTTTTATGTTTCCGTTTCTGTTTCTATTCCAATGGCGCTCCTTTTATGTTTCTATTTCTGTTTCAATCCCAAGAAATAAAACTATTGTGGTGGCTAACTTTTTCTTTGATCACATGGCATGTTTTTTTAGTTGCAAGTGCAATTCGCCTGGCGGTAAGTCAGAATAAATTTTGTTGTATTCCTTGATTATTCAACATATATAGGCAGACATGAATAAGCCGATGATGAATCTTGGAGGTTAGTCAGCTATAGCAAATTCTCGAACGGCACCCACACCGACCAACCGATCCTCAGCACATTGACTAAAGATAACAACTGCCCGTTTGTTTTTTGTGACTGCAAAAGTTCGTTGAGTTATAGATCAAATTAATTAACATCCTCTTGGGTTCAGCAACGACTTAATTAAGTAATTTAATAAAATCTTTTTTTTAATGAAAATAAAAAATTATAAACTCAAATCGTATGACATATAAGTAGAGTAAATTAAAAGATGAAAAAGATTACATTCCATTATATTACTCCAAAAAAAGAAAAAAATCCTTTCAGTTTCACAAGTTTTGAACTTGGTTCCATTTCCTTGCAATCATAAAAATCTCAACCCATATCTCTTGCTTAAGGCATTACCCATATAAAAAGGGTGTTGTCCATTATTTCATTTATTTTGTTGCATATATACAGTAAAAATGTACTTTATGTAGGAGTTAAGTGTACTTTCCAAGGTAACCACACATGAGTAGTAAGTGCAATATGTCCTAAAATAATTTCATAGCACAATATTAGCAATTCAATTATCATTACTTTTTCACCCATAATATGGCTTTGTAAAGGTAGCACTTACTAATTTTAAAATTTTTAATTTAGGTTTAAGGTTAAAGATTTAAATTTTTACAACCTCAAACAATTAATCCTTCCATTGACAAAAAAAAAGAAAGAAAAAAGAAGAGGATAATGATGCATGCACAGTCCCACACCACACACTCTGTTATATCCTTCAATTTTCATTATTTACCGTTAATCACACTTAATTTCGTTACCATCTCCTCAGCCATCTCCCAACTCAACAAACCCTTTCTGTCCTCACCAAAGCCATCTTCCTCCTCACCTCCATCCTTATCCTAATCATCTGCAAGACAATTGTCGGCCTCTCCCAAGTTCCCACGTTCTTCATTTTTTCTTTTTTTTTTTTTTTTTTTTTTGTATTTGGTTAGACATATTTTGGATTTACCTTTTAAACTTTAATATTGAATATGACTATATTTTTTGAAGATTAAATCCCCATTTTGGTCCCTGAACTATTGTACGGACCCCCGATTTGGTCCCCACTGTTTATAATTTGGCCTAAATTGGTCTTGGAACTATTGTACGGACCCCCAATTTGGTCCTTACTGTTTACAATTTCGCCCCAATTTAGTCCCTGAGCTATTATTTAACAGAAGGACCAAGTTGGGGTTAAATTGGTAAATAGTAGGGACCAAATTGGGCATCCGTACAATAGTTTAGGGACTAACTTGGGAGTCCGTACAATAGTTCAAGGACCAAATTAGGGATTTCTTTAGTTCAAGGACCAAATCGGGGTCCTTACAATAGTTCAGGGACCAAAATAGGGGTTTAACCTTTTTTGAATAATGCCCTCCTAAATATTGAATAAAATTGTATTTTTGTATAATATTCTTATAAATATTGAATAAGCACTAGATATTAATATATATATATTGGATTTGTCTTTTGAACTCTAATCATTCATGTCTTTTCTTTTAATGAAGGTTAATACCTTTATGAAATTTTGAATTCTAAATATTGTATAGGTATTATATATTTGACATATATTTTAGTTCCACTTATATAATCACTAATCTTTTCCTTTTCTTTTCTTGAGATTGGAAAAAATTGAATTATGAAATGGAAATTAATGTTTAATAAAGTTTTTTTAACTAAATAATTAATTAGTAATAAAGTTTTTTAACTAAATAGTTAATTAGTATTAGATTTTGCTAAAGAAAAACAGAGAAAACTATAGAAAAATTTTAATTTAATTTTAATTTTTTAAAAGTTGGATCCACTCGACCCAATTCGAGACCCGTATGAATGGGTCATAAATCAACCTCCTTAATCCGACACCTAAAATGACCAAATCCGAATAATTCGGGATCTGAAATGACCCAATCCAAACCTACCCAATTCAACATGTTTGCCTGGTTTAAAGAGGAAACTTGATAATATTTTCATTAAGATTGTTAATGAGTCAAGTCGAGTACCAAGGTACTCACAAGCTCATTTTAAAAATTCAACTTTGAGTCTATGTTGAGTTTAAAATAGTTGAACTCATACTTAAACTTGTGAGTATTTAAGCGATCGAGTTTAAGTTTACTTATGAGCTCAAGTCACAAGTACTACCTTAACTTGAATTTTAGTTTTTTTTCTTTTTGTTTTCTTTTTTCTTTTTCCTTTTTTTGTAATTCTATAATATTTCAGTAACTAATTATTTAATCATAAATTTTCCACCATTTTTCAAAAATATTGCAGTACTAAAAGTTTAAACATATTAAATTTAGCAAAAAAAAAAAAAAAACCATACTCTATGTTTGAACATTTTTATTAATAGTTATAATTCAAAATAGGTAAGTTCTTTAAGTTACCTTATTAAGTTTTTAAGTTATTATATATTTAAATTTAATAAATAAATATATAACGAGAAAGTGGCCATTAGTCCTGACTCCCAAAAAAAATTTGGAGTCCTAACCCAAACGACGCCGTTTTATTAATCTCAGCCCCCTCTCCTTTGCCTTTGCCCTTGCCCTTTTTGCCTTTGCCTTTTCTCGGATTCTTTCTCCATCGCCTCTCAACCCTCCCCTTTGCCTTTGCCCCTGCCCCTTTTGCCTTTGCCTCTTCTCCGATTTGTTCTCCATCGCCTCTCAACCCCTCCCTTTTGCCTTTGCCTTTGCCTCTTCTCCGATTCCTTCTCCATCGCCTCCATCGCCTCTTAGCCCCTCCCCTCTGCCTCTTTTGCCTTTGCCTCTTCTCCGATTCCTTCTCCATCGCCTCTCATCTCCATCCACTCCTCCGAATCCTCCAATTCCACTGCAATTCATCATCTCCATCGAAGAGAAGGGACCAAGGACGGTAAGCTCTATCTACCCAAACAAAACGAAAAAATCTCTCTCTTTTTTGTTGGGTCTCTTTCTAATCATCGGTTCCTTGAATTTTTTAGATGCAATCGCACCATCGACAGTAGCAAAAATGGAATTGAAGGCAAACGACCTTTTGAAAGTATTTTTGTTCTCCGGCAGTAACAGGGGTAGAAAGTATTTTTGTTTTTGTACTCCAATTTCTTGTTGAATCTGGAAAAGAGAAGGTTGATTTTAGGAATTGTTTGTTTATTCAATTAAATTCGGTAGCCAAGTCATTTTTTCTTAACTATTTGATGATAAAATTTTATACT